TCCATTCAGACAACGTGTCAATGCCTTCTTTTTCATGTCTAGCCCATCGCCTGGCGTAATCTTCCACAGAATCTATAATCTTTATGAAATTTTGACGCCAGTATCTAAAGGCATGAAATGTTCCGACACTATAGACTTTCACTTCCTGTGCTATCTTGTACATTACAATATTCAACTCCCATGAGTATTTTCAGTACTTTGATTTCTGTAGGCTATCATGAGGACATCAAAGGCACATCGTTTACGTTGTTGACCTGATTCTGAATTTTGCCTCATCACTCTGAACTGCATCTGGATTTTCAACTAGTTTAAATTTAACTTTCAACATCTTCAGAAAACGATGCTACTGGCCGCAAATGTGAAAGATAGGTGTGGATAACCTACATCTCTGCAACCCCCCCCCCCCCCTACTAAAATATAAATAACAACTCTATGTTTTCTCGAAAATATGTAACTTCCCCATCAATTTCATCTTGACGTTATTCTGCGCAATCAGTTTGTGCTGTTTTGCACAATTTGGCCATATACATGTATGCCATCTTTCTTAAATCCCCGTTTCGGGTCCCTGTGGACTGCATCAACACTCCTGTAGTTGTAATAAAAATTGTTTCCTTAATGCCAGTGATAGTTGTCTCTAACACAAATGTATATATACTCTGTTTTTCGCTTTCTTACTGTCTGTTTCAAAACCCTTTTATAATCAATAATGATGATTTTGTCTTTGACGAATAAGCCATTTTTTAAATTCAGCCTTGGATGAGTGATAAGTGCAGGCACGGATCCAGGAATTTTTTCCAGGGGGGTTCACCCCAGTCAAAAAAAAATTCCAACCTAGAAAATTTTTGACAAGTAAAAAAACAAACAAACAAAAAAAAAAAAAACAAAACTGTAAAGTCCTTTCCCAAACGTGAAATGAAAAAACCTATTTCGGGGGGGGGGGGGGGGGGTAGTCGTTGACTTCTAAAGCTCAATACTTATAACTTTTCGTACCAACTTTATACAGATCCGTGTTTTCAAAGGGGGTCCGCGTTTTCGAGGGGTGGGGGTGGGGGGTCCAAGTTCACTTTAATTGGTTTAGTATATACATTTAATAACTGTCAATGTCAAGGGGGGGGGGGTCCGGACCCCCCGAACCCACCCACCTCTAGATCCGCGCATGAAGTGAGACATTCTGATAGATAATGGGATGTGAGTCTAATTAATGTGTATTTTATTGACCACTGCATGTATATATGCCGCATGTTTTGAGGAAAAAAAATCATGAATAAATCACATTGTTACGATAACTTTTAATTAGATATGATTTATATCTATTAGATAAAGAATATTGCTTCCTAAGTCTGAATTATACCTGTTCTTAGTGAAAACTTGACATTAAATTTTCCGCTTTCCGTTCCGTTCCGCTTTCCGTTCCGCGTTTTAGCAACACCCCAACAATACACACTAGCATGGAACATTTAAGTGCTTCAGAACCAGGGGAATGTGTTGCTTTAGACTTTTCCATCTTAGAAAATTTTCAGGGATAGGAGAATGTGTTAGTGATAACAAATGTATTCAGTAAATGGACCATCGCAATTCCAACGAGGATAAAACGTTGGCTAAAGCGTTAGTGAAGGAATTATTTTGTACATTTGGTGCATGTAAGGGAATTCATTCTGGTCAGGGAAAGTGCTTTGAAGCAGAAATAATGTAACAACTGTGTTCGTTTTATAATATCAAGAAGTCGAGAATTACAGCGTATCACCCTCAAGGCAATGGTCAGTGTGAGCGTTTTAACAGAACTCTACATGACCTACTTCACTCTTTACCGCCAGCTAGGAAACGGAAGTGGCCAGAGTACATAAAGGAGTTAGTATTTTATTACAGTGCCACACCAAACGCATCGACTGGTTACTCTTCTTGTACTTGATGTATATAGTTGTCAACCACATCTTCCGAAAGACTTCCTATTAGGCCGAAGCATCAACATCGACAGATGCCAGGTTTACAATTTAGCCGAACGCCTCTGTCTTTAACTGTAGCCTTATTGGATTTTACTTCAATCAAAGAGAAAAATGGCACTCGAACCTGAAACTATGGCAACACCATTGTAGAATTATGATGCTAATTATTGATCAGTGAGAGTTCTTTATCGTGCCAACGCCTACCGTGACACGGTGCCATAGTTTTTCAGGTCTCATCCGAAAGACCTGCAACTTCAAAGTGCCGAGCGTTTGGCGAAGGAACAGTTGCTACCTATTTTTTAACGACTTAGGTCAGTCGCGCCCGTGAATCGAACACACTACCTTCCGATCACCAGGAACGTTTTAAAAGAGTTTAATAAATATGTGGAATCTGTTTTTTAACCTAAAAATTAAATAACTATTTAATTTAATTTACTATTTACCATTGATTGATAAAGTTTTTAGGGTTTACATATCAAGAGTATACATAAAGAGGTGTATACAGAGTATTGATTAACCCCGAATTATTATCTATCAGGTTTCAGTTTGTTCAAACAAAAGTGCAAAGTTTTTTCATCTGCACATTAAAAATGAAATTTTAAAAAAATGACTTACTGCAAGAAGAGAATATTAATCGATTTGAAATTTAAGATCGTAGTATTTGAAAAAGGGTAAAATTTAATGTGTCCTCAAGGAAGCATGATAAAATGCCAAAATGTATCAATTTACTTAATTTGAATATTAGAAGATGAAACAATGAAATATGGAGCCCATTAGACGAGATCAATCAGGAAATCATAGCAAGCTGGGGATTATAAATCAATTTATGACATAGAGGGACTGATTGGTTTTTAGGTTCATGGGCATTCTAACTCTTCACACGTAAATCATACCAGCACTTTACCATTAATGATTCTAGAGACAGCTTTTAGTATTCGACATCATACCTAACACTTCCTTAAATCTCTTTTAAGTTCGAGATCTATGCATCCTTTCCTTTAGGAGGGATTGATTTAAGGTCTGATAAATGGTACAATACTTTCATTTATTATCCCCCGCTTCCTCAACATCTACACAATGACGCTTGACCTGCTTTTTATGCCCCCGTAATCGAAGATTCGGAAGCATATAGTTTTTGCCCTGTCCGTCCGTCTGTCTGTTTGTCCGAAAAACTTTAACCTTGCCCATAACTTGATTTGTTGGAGCTATGGCTTTCATATTTCACATGTGTATTCCTTATGACAAGACCTTTCTTTGGGTACCATCATATTTGACCTTTTGATCTTGACCTTGGAGTTTGACACACTTTTGAAAAATTTTATGAGACTTCAAACTTAGCCATAACTTTTGAACACTTGAAGCTTGGGCTTTCAAGGTAGAAGTTTCACATGAACATTACCTGTGTCAAGACCTTTCGGAATTACCATGCTTTTAGACCTCTCGACCACCATGTTTGGACTACTTTAAAAAAAAAATTAAGGTGGGCAATAACTTTACAATGAGAGAAGATAAGGTTTTCTTTTTTCACATGTACATTATCTGTCTCGATACTTTTCCGAATACCCTAAGAGTGCGAAACCTTAAAGTTGGACTTTCTATTCAAAATATCTAACTTTAGCCTTAGCTTTTGCACCTGAGGAGACAGGACTTTCGTATTTCTTCACATTTTCGACTCTTGACCTACACTTCGAAGTCTGACATTCAAATGGTTGGCTGTAACTTTTGCGCAAGAACATTGAAAGTATTTTAATGTATAACTTTTTTAGCATGATGGATAGACAATATGCCATATATAATTGAATCTCAACCAATAAGACTCCAGAAGTGGGAGGGCCACTTGATAGTAAGGGAAAATGCAAAGCAGCTGTCAAAATTAAAAGCAATGTTAGAGCAAGCAATTTTTTTATTCTTAGTAATGAAAGATGTTTAAATATAAATTTTGAATAACTGCAAACAAAAAATTGGTCGATCCTGAAGAAAGGGGAACTTCTTCAGAATCGTCCACAATTTCGTTAGGACATGAATTCATGGATAAACGTCTCCTTATAATTATATCACCTACGATTCAAAATTCGTGTAGAGTTTAAATTTGTGGTTAATAAGGGTGTCCACGAAAACTGAACGTCCATGAAAGATTATTTTAGAATGAGGTTGTTGTATGACTTCTCTAAGTAGAAATTGTTGCGAAATATTTCCAGAAAAAATAGCCTTACTTGAAAGGGTGTTAAATCCGCCACTCATTAAATCAATATTAGCTTCTTTTGTAATTAAGAAGTTGGTTGGAGAATATTGTGTCTTTTTCAATCATATCAGGCCGGAATACGTTTGATTTTTTTAATAGCCTTGGTAAAATTGCCAGAGTCGGCAAAATTTAACAATTTAATTGTTTTTTGTCATCGAAAATTTGACAAATGCCAGTATAAGTATAAAATTTTACTGAGACTTCTTATGCACTCAGTAGATCAAAAGATGAGTATATCTGTCATTTTCGACATCTTGCTTAGAGGATTTTTACTTTAGATTTCAATGTAAAATAAGCGAAAATACTTTTTCACGTATTATAATGAAAATAACTGTCATACGAGACCATAAACAACCATTAAAATTGCAAATCAGTTCGTCACCACATGCGCTAATGAGGCGGAGTAAAATTAGAGCAGTGAGAGGATAGCAGAGTTTAAACTGAAACAGGGTCACGAATCTGTTTTGAAATTCATAAAAATGTACTTTGTGCTATTCGCTAGTTGTGTGTTTAAAGATGGGAGAGGGGAGTAGGGTTAAGTTTGCGTTCTTATGAGTTTTACACACCTTCCGTTAGACAGGAAAATTTTTTAAACGACACGATTTGAGAAAAATTAAAGTATATTGAAAATTGTGAAAATATATGGCAGGATAGGAAGAAAACATTGTTCCTCTGTCACATTAAAATTAATTTATGAATGATAAAGACATGACGCGTGACAGATCAGAATGTGAAACTTTTGGTCTGTAATGAATTGACAGTGATTTCTTGCGTATCAGACGACAGGGGTGTTACTTCCCGCGTTTTTTTTTCTGTCATGATGTTTGGATCCAGTGTCTGTTCTGCCTTCCTGCATGGCGATTGCTCAAAGAGAGATAAATTATTCCATGATCAAAACAGATAATTTACTTAAATTTGATTTGATGATTTATAGTGTATACACCTCGACGATAATAACTTATTTGTTAATATATTAAAGTTGTCATATTTCGGACGATGTTCAGATTCCACTGAGGACTTGTGAGAAGATGACTTATTTCTCGGTGTGGGTAATTCTCGTTAGCGTGTGCTTATCATTAGTGGTGATTTACGCTCAAGACAACATCAGCCGAAGCATACCAACACGACCAGTAGGTATGTCGGTCCATTTTAATTGTCTAATTTATGTACAGTGTACCAGTTGCAGTATACAAATTGTGTTAATTAACTTAATGCTAATGTATGTGTTCTAGTTGTAATTTTTTTTACCTTGGGCTTTCAATGCAGTTACCAGTATCTTCAATCTGATCAATTGGAGCTTAAGTGTTATAAGCTCACGTAAGCTGAAAGCTCAAGTGAACTTATCTGATCACATTTGATCTGTTCATTCGTATGTAAACTTTTCATTTTTCAACTTTTCAAGAACCACCGGGCCAATTTCAACCAAACTCTTTGGGTGAAGAACGCTCACCTGTGGCACATTCGTCCTGGTATTCTTCAGCAGATATTTTGTCTCTGTTTTTGCGAAAGTGAGGGGACATTAAATCTCATTCGTCAGTCATTCTCTCTGTCTGTCACAATACTCTAACCCGGGTCATAACTTTTGATTGAGAAAAGATAGGACTTTCATATTTCAAATGTACATTACCTTTGACAAGTACTGTGATTTTTTACCCCGTGTCATTGACCTTGAAGTTTGACCTTCTTTTCAAATACTTTAAAATTCATGGCGATAAATTTTGAGTATTTGTTTGTTTATTGTATAACGTCCCTCTCGAGCATTTTTCACTCATATGGAGTCTGCACCACTTGCCGGTGGAGAGCTGCAAATTTTGACCTATATTCGGCACTTAGGGCCATTGAGCAGAGAGGGATCTTTTTTGTGCCAGTACCTACTGCGACACGGGACCTCGGTTTATTCGGTCTCATCCGAAGAACCGGTCTACACGTCCAACAGTGGGATTCGAAACTGCGACGTAAGGAAAGCTCTAACCACTGCGCCACGCGGCCGACTATTTTTGAAAGAGCAAATAGGATGTTCGTATTTGACATTTATATTACCTGTGGCAAAACATTTTGAAATATACCATGACCTTGGCTTCGACCTTCATTTCAAAAATTATAGCATTAGGGATACTTTTTGAATTAAAAAAGATAGGGCATCCATATTTGGCATGTTGATTACCTGAGGACATACTTTTTTTTACCTAAAAAGTATGATTTTTGACCATGGCCTTGAAGTTTGACCTACTTTTCAAAAAGATTAACATTGGTGATAACTTTTGAATGAAAGAAGAAGGGCATCAATATTTGACATGTATATTAATTGTAACCATATCTTTGAGAATTGAGAATGTACTATGTTTTTTACCTATTCATCTTGACGTTTAATCTTTGTGTTTAGTACTTCTCAAAAGCTGGAACTTGGTAATAAAGTATGACTGAGAGAAAATAGTCCTTTCATATTTGACATGTACATGACATGTGACAACCCTTTTAGATGATAGTATGACTAATCATATACTATCTTTTCTTGAAAAGAGTTTTGAAGTTTAATCGCCTAGTGTTGCCACACCCTACCCTCAGGGGTCATGATCTGAACAAACGTGAATCTACCCTACCTGAGGATGCTTCCTCGTAGGATGCTTGCCCGATCATGAAAGGAGCACACGACGGGTGTGACCGGCCGAGAGGGAATGCTTACTTCTCCATGGTACCTGATCCCACCACTTCTGATGTTTTTAGAGGTCCATGTTTGCTTTTTGAGTTTGACAACTTATCTAAAAAATCACTTATAAATATGATTCAAAATCTTACATTTCTATTAAATCACATCATTAAAAGTTGGTATACACACACACACACACACCCCCTCACACGTATATATATATATATATATATATATATATATATATATATATATATATATATATATATATATATATGTTTGTATGTATGTATATACAAGTTGACTACATCAAGGTACATACATTTTAGGTGAATAAATTTTTTTATTTCAATCTGATCTCTCTTGAAGCTTGAGCAAATATAAAATTATTTATGGTAGGCGAATTCGTTCAACCATGGGATTTTGATTTCGATGAACCTGACACTATGGTAACTAGTACTATTAGTTATATTTGTTACTTTTTTCCAAGCGTCGCAGGATTGAATCCTAAAACGTGGAGACTTGTCCTCCAGATGATATCGTATAAACTGATGTCCATTATTCGTAGTTGAGAAGTTGATAAGTTGATTGCACGAAAATGGATCCCTCATCGCTCAATGGCCGTAAGTGCCGAATATAGGTCTAAATTAGCAGCCATCCACCACGTCCTATATGTGAAATATTATCCAAGGGACAAAAACACACGTAGAAGCAGAAAAAAATCGTTTTAATTTTACCCTAGATGAAGAGAGCTTTGTTAAATTCTTTCACAATTCTACTCTAGTTTTGGTATGTTTTGTAAATGTAAACCCCAAAAAGAACTGGTAAAAGGCTGGTTCAACTTTTAACTTAGATTGATATGAAGGTACTGAATAAGCTACAGTCTGATTTTCTATTTTGTCGACGAAGTTAGAAGCCTCCGTTCATTACTTATACAGTCTTGGCAATTACATCGTAATTTTTAATTAATTTACTTTCTTTAATGGCGCATTATCCACACGCTGATGTCAAAACGCTTCTAGACAAAGGCTTTTATTGTTAGCAATATGAGTATTTCTGTAAAAACTTATTGAGAGGCAAGACTATCGCCTAAGTATCATGAATTCTCAGGCAATGTCCAACCACAGGCACCTAATTTGTATACAGGGCACCCCTTGCTTATTTTTAACATAAGTTACCTTACTCAATTTCAGTTGAGGTAATTTTCGATCGAGATATATATATATATATATATATATATATATATATATATATATATATATATATATATATATATTAGGGATGTCAACGAATAGTCGACTATTCGACTATCAGTCGAATAGACCGACGATCGAATAATGTAACAACATTCGAATATTATTATAATTAAATGCAATAAAAGAGTGATAACGAGATGGAATCCTCATCACAAAATTGAGAAACCGTCTTTCCTCAGAGACAGTCGATAAGATAATTTTCCTCAATAAAAACGCTTGATTTTTCCATGTATGTATAGAAAGTACAGTAATTATAAGTGCTTCGATTCACTACTGCGAGAATTATTTTTTAGTAACTGCCTGTGTTGTTTTTGTAATAAATTACCCACGAATATATTGGGCTTTGTTTGTAAAATAGTGAACTGAACTTGATCTCATACCATGTACCAATTACCGTTTGTTATTTTAAGATTGCTCAAATGCAAGGAACAAATCATGGCTGTGTCATATTTTGACATTTCGATAATAATTAAAACAAATCGCTTACATTTTAAACTATTTAAGGACAATTTGATAGCCAGAGCAATCAATAATTGAATAAACAGTATCTAACTGCTTAACAATTTCAAAAGCACCTGACATGTGGATAGTGTGAGATTAACACCCCCCCCCTTCATTATTTCATAATAAGCTCAAATAAACATACTATTGGCAAATGTTACTAAAATAAAAACTGACTGCATGTACAAACCGATTTATGAATTCGATTGACGGGTAAATCACAGATTTTGGAAAATTACCGGGTAGGTTTCTTAATTTATTTCATATAATCATGCTATTCACGCGTTACGTTGCATTAATTTTGATGTTACTTTTTACATAGATTTAAGTAAAAAGGTTTTTGAGTTATAAGTACGCCATGTACCAGTGAAGTTTGAAATAAAATTTTATATTCAGAAAATGTTCCGATTATTCGACTATCGTTCGAATAATGCAATCGAATAATCGACTAAGGAAAATAAATATTTTGACATCCCTAATATATATATATATATATATATATATATATATATATATATATATATATATATATATATATATATATATATATATGCATGGGTGTGGGTGTGTCAAGAAATGGCTGTCTTTTAGGTAAAGAAACCAGAGAATCAAACGGAATTAACAATTTAGCTGGACAAGCGACCTCAAAGAGCCTACAGCAAAGAGGTACTGTTCTCAATATTTTGTTTGGACGTTAGTAAGGAAAAAATAAATTTAATGTAGAAAATCCCCAGGAATTTATTATCTGAAATTTGGAATTGCAGATATTTAAGCAGTGTGCGCAAACAAATTGTGTATGTACATGTAAGCGCGTTATGAAGATTTGTTTGCACACACTGTTGCGGTTATGAGACTACATCTTTTAAAAATAATAATTCATTTCTTATACATGTATATACATTTTTTTTTACTTCCTGCCTCGTTTGCAAATATCATTCATAAAAATTCTTATATTATCCTTCGGGTAAGTTACAATTCATGGAAGAACCATTGCAACAGCTACTACTTTTAAACTGTTCAATGTGCCCGTGAATTATGATTGATGACGTTGCACTTGAACGGCGTTCAACGTTTGTGACGTCAAATCAAAAACTTTATTCTTTTGACCTCACCTTTCGGGTTCTGGAATTTTGAATGCCGTAGCTATCCACACACGGTTTACAAGCAAAATACATTTGGAATGAGAATATATGTATATAATGACAAATACATGTTCTCATGATGAATAGCTTCGAACACGTGGACTCATTTTTATCAGCTGTAGCTTAGAAAAAAAAAGTTCAGCTCGGACATTACAAATATTTCTATGAAACTCTAGTTTGCATGCATCTAACATAACTAAACACAGTTCTCATTTTCAGAATCAAACAGAATCAGTTTTACAACTCCTCGGGTTGTTTTTCCCGACAGGCTCATTCTTCGAGGTAAGGCTTCATACATTTTCTTAACGGAAATCTCGTAGAAAGAGACAGGGACTTTATTAGTCTAATTCAGTTTACACATGGCTTCTGTTTAAGATATTTTTTATTCAGTGTTTTAACCATAATTAGCTTTATGCTTATTAGCAATTTTGACGACATTTTAAATTCATCATTCAGGTGCAGTGTAATTCAGGACATAAAAATGAAAAATACATAACAACGAACTAGAACTAAGTACAAACCTGCTACATATTAATTAATAACTGAACAGAGCGTAGTTTGTTAAAACACTAAGATTACCTCGAAGGTGTTTCCACAAAATGCTTTTTTCTGCTTGTAAGAGTGGATGTTTATGCCCCCCACCCCCCTTCGAAGAAGGTAGGGCATATTGCTTTGCTGCTGTCGGTCGGTCTGTCTGTCGGTCTACCAACAGTTTGCGTTCATTTTCTTCGCAGAGGTTACACATACTCAAATGAAATTTGTTATACAGATTTATCATAAGAATATCTAGGTCAAGTTTTGTTTTTGGTTACGATCGAGCAATTTTTGACAGAGTTATGCCCCTTGGACTTAAGAAAATTCCAATTATTTGCAGTTTCCGTTCATTTTTTTTGCAGAGGTTGCACATACTGAAATGAAATTTGGTAAACAGATTTATCATAGAAATGTCAAGGACAAGTTCTGATTTGGTTAAGATCGAGCAATTTTTGACAGATTTATGCTTCTTGGACAATTATTTGCAGTTTCCGTTCATTTTCTTTGCAGAGGTTGCACATACTGAAATGAAATTTGGTATACAGAATTATCATAAAAATATCTAGGTCAAGTTCTGTTTTGGGATCGGTCGAACAATTTTTGACAGAGTTATGTCCCTTTGACTTACAAAAATTCCAATTATTTGGGGGGGGGGGGGGGGGATTAGTGTTTCACAAACATCTCTTGTTATTTTTATGCCCCCTTATCAATGTTTTTTTTGTATGTTTGTCCGCAAAATCTTTAACCTTGGCCATAATTTTAAGCGCTTAATGCTAGGGCTCTCGCATTTCACAAGCATTTTTGTGAAAAGACCTTCTCTTGGGTACTAACATTTTTGTCCCCCGCTTTCACTGAAAGTGAGGGATATTAATTCGGTCTGTCTGTCCGTCCGTCTGTCTGTATTTCTGCCTCTTTGTAACACTTTCGTTTCCGCGCAATATCTCGAGAAGCCTTTGAGCTTTCACAATGAAATTTTATATAGCAACTCCCTATAGCCTAAAAATTTGAAGTCAAAAGGTCAAGGTCATAAATTCTGTCTGTTTAACACTTTCGTTTCCGCGCGATATCTCGAGAAGCCTTTGAGCTTTTGCAATAAAAACTTATAACAACTTACTGTGGCCTAAGGAAGATTCCTATTGATTTTGAGGTCCAAAGGTTAAGGTAGTAAATTCATACATTCTGGCTGTGTGTAACACTTTCGTTTCCGGGCGATATCTCAAGAAGCTTTTGAGCTTTTGCAAGTAAATTTTATTTCATAACTCCCTATGGCCCCTCTCAACGTGTCCCGCCCCGTTTTTTTTTTTTAGAATAAATGTCGCGTGGCACTATTTTTAGCACAGGAGCATGTGGAGAGTTATTACATATAATGCAGGTTGTCGGCGGATTTTATATTCTAATTACATCTATAAGAGCTGTTAGTAAAGGCTAAATTAAACACCAGGTGTTTTGACAATATCGAACGTGAATATAAACATGTATATGTGACCTAATGTTTACATTTAATTTGCTTTATAATTAAGAGCCACGTTGGTCTAGGGGTTTGATTCTTGCTTAGCATATGAGAGGTCCCGGGTTCAAATTCTAGAAGATACCTTTTTGTTGTTGTTGTTGTTGTTGTTGTTTTTTTTTGAAAAAGTTTTTTTTCGATTTACTAAATGATAGTATTCATTATTCAACACATGAAGTGAAGAAGTTACGACATCTGGCGTGTACAACCTTCTCAAATAATCATTACAGTGTAATAAATATTTAATATAGAAAGAATCTTCTGTACACATATTAAAGAATAAACAATCAAATCTAAATCAAATTGGCATTTTTTATTTGCTTCATTATACATGTATACATTTAACAATTCTGCAAATCCAGGATGGGGGAGGGGTCCGACCCCACCCCTAGATCTGCGCATGCTCTTCTTTTTTCCTTAAGCGGGGGACACAAAGTCTCTGAATTAGCTTGTTTACCTTAAGATCTTGACCTTGGAATTGACCTACTTTTAAACAACTTTAACCTTGGCCTTAACTTTTGAACGTTGGGTGTTAGGGGTTTCATATTTCACATCTGTATTTCTTGCGACAAGGCCTTCCATTGGGTACCAACATCTTTGACCTGGACCTCGGAATTTTACATACTTTTGAAAAATTCCAACATTGGATATAACTTACTTTTGAACGGTTAGTGTTATGGCTATCATATTGCAGACTATCCTTTTCCAGACCATTGAGTACCAACAATTTTTCTTGACCTTGGAGTATGACCTACGTTTAAAAAACCTTTACCCCTGTCTATAAATTTTGAACGGTTGGTGCTAGAGCTCTCATATTTCACATGTGTATTCCTTGTAACAAGACATTCTTTTTGACACCAACACTTTTGACTTTTGTGTTTGACCTACTTTTTGAAAGTTAACCTTGGCCATAAGCTTTGAACGATTGCTGATAGTGCTTTCATGTATATCACGTGTATTCCGTGTGACAAGATCTTCGCTTGGGTACATGTACCAATATCTTTGACCTCATGACTTTGAGCTTGGACAATGTCTTACTTTTGAAAAACTTTAATCTTGACCATAAAAGGGCAGCTACTCCTCTGAAACCGCTCAACAGAATATCTTGAAACTTTGTAGTTCATGTGGACATAATGTGTAGATGTGCAAATTTGCAAAAAATTCTTACTCATTTTTTTCTGGGCGTTATGCCCTTTTTAGTCCCCTACCGGTGAAACCGGAGGGGAGTATAAGTTTCCTCTGAGTCTGTCGGTCTGTCTGTCCCTCTGTCTGTCTGTCAGTCTGTACCACTTGGTTTTCCGCCCTTTTTTCTAAACGCTTGGAGATATTGAGCTGATTTTTTATATTTGAGTGTATCTTGATGAGTTACAGATCAAGTTTGCATTTCGTTTCGCTCTATTGATTTTTGACGGAATTATGACCTTTTCAATTTTTAAGGGTTTTCCGCGATTTTTTTCTAAACGCTTGGAGATATTGAGCTGATTTTTGGTATGTGAGTGTATCTTGATGAGTTACAGATCAAGTTTGCATTTCGTTTCGCTTCAATGATTTTCGACGGAATTATGGCATTTTCAATTTTTAATGGGAACCAGATTACACTTGCCGGTAGGGGACTAGTATTGCCAAATCAATACTCTCAGAATGCTTGAAATTAGAATTTTGTCTTTCTTCAGAACTATTCCGAAACCACTGAACAGCATTTCGTGAAACTTTGTAGTGAATAAGAACATATGTACATTGCATTTTCAAAGGAATTTTCAGAAAAAAAAATCTCGGAGTTATGCCTCATTTGAACTTATAAGCTTGTTTGTTTTAAGTCCCTCTGAGAATTTTCACTCATATTGAGACGACGCCACTTACCGGTGGAGGGCTGCAAATTTGGGCCTGTACTCTGCACTTCCGGCCTTTAGCAGTGATGGAACTTTTTCCGGCCAGCACATACTGCGACACGGGACCTCGGTTTTCGCGGTCTTATCCGAAGAACGGTATTCAAGACCCGCAGTGGGATTCGAACCCGCGACTAGGGATCAACTCTTTAGAGCAAACCCTCAACCAATACGCCACGCGAGCGACGAGAAGTTTGGGTAAAATGTGCCATTTTGTGCAACTTGTGTGAAACTGTTAAGCACGTGTATCCTGATTTTAAATGATGAAGAGAAGTTTTTTTTTCTTGTTAAAATGTTTTATTCAGTGTATGTTTTATTCAGTGTTCCTCTGCATATTATTCAATGAGGGGCTGGCCCTCATCAGTGCATGCAGACATTTAAATGAAATGCCAATATTAATTATCAATTGACCAATATTTTGAAATAATTTCAAATTAATTTTAATGTCGCATTATTAATACAACTTATCTGCATTTTCTGATGGCTCGTTCATTTTAGGTCTCTATTTTAAAAGCGAATCTGACAATTACTAGGAACAGTGTAATTTTGTTGTGAGTTATGACCACTGGTAAAATTACGAGGTAGCTGTACTTAACTGTACTTAAGAATTATTGTTAACTCCTCTGACTTAGTCAAACAAGAAAATTTTAATTAAAACAAGTACAGTTTCAGAACTAGCGGAGTTGCCCTTAATTTTCAATATGAAACTCCTAACAATTTTTGTTCTTGTACTTTCTGCAGACTGCGATGCACTCGGATGCAAACTTGAAACCGAATTTTTATGTTCTCATCTTTCTGTTGACAACTAAATAAGCATTTCTTCATTCAAATTCATTTTTCCAAATGAAAATATACTTTCTCTATTCAAGAGAGTTAGTCTGTTTATATATAAACGTTCCCTTTAATAGTTCCTTGTGTGAGATACACTGGTAAAATGTTCATATGTACAACACTGCAGAACACTATCACAAGCTAAAATAATTATTTATCTTATTTTTCTATTTTAAAGATTTTGTAGTGCGGTGTGTGGCAACGCACTTCGATAAAAAATGCGCACTTTGAAATTTTTTTTTCAAAGTGTGTTAAGCGTGTACATCAACAGTTTTTACCATGGAGACACTTAACGCACTTTAAAAAAATTGTTAAAAAAAAAAAACAAAAACAAAACAAAACAAAAATTCTGGACTTCTAGGTCTTAGTAATAGACAGTATTAGTTTGTTATACATGTAGTTCTTTCGAAAACTGATGAATTAATCTATCCTCATCAAGAACGAGTAGAAGACAGGTAGAAGGTTCTTCAGTTCAACTATTTATCTTTCCTAACCATATATATGTATTAACATATCTTGAATGAGATTGATATTTTCAATATTTTAGTTTACGTAAATTAGATGAAAAAATTGAGATAAACTCTCCTAAAAAAAATAATAACTCAAAGGTCATGTCACTGATCTAAACAACAACAGCCAACTGACTATACTTTGGCCAAAGAAGCTTTACAAAATCAAATGCAATACAAATTTAAAAAAAATTGTATAAAATGCATAGATAATTTTTTCATACCTCTTAATACTAATCAAATAACTGTAGAAAAGGCCATCATATTGAACGAGAATAAACAATTTTTGTCATACTTCTAAATACTTATCAAATTACTATAAAAAGCCCATCATATTGTGCGGGGAAATTATTTTCAGTGGAAATCATAATTGCTCCCTTTTCCCTAAGAAAATGCGATGCTTCAAGTCCTACACCTACCGAACTTATTACAGACTGGATAAAATTTAAAAAAAAAACGAAATTGTGCTATTAAACAATCATTCCTCCATTATTTCTGTAAGACCGATTTCCGTTTTATAACATTTTCGAGAACCTTTGTGAACAAGATTATTCCTAAAAATCTTTTAAACGTCCGGATCTCAGATCCGGAAGTAACGTCATCACCGAAAAGTTAACCAACCAGATTCAAATAATTTTTTATCATGCCTAAAATTTGCAAGAATATTGACTAGGCCATGCACGTTCTTTTTCAAAGTCTGTTAATATGGTCGATATTAACGCACTTATGTCGCCTGAGTCACTCAGGTGACCTATTGCTATCCTTTATTGTCGGTCGTTAACTTTTAAACATTTTCATCTTCTCCTCATAAACTGCTGAACCAATTTCAATCAATTTTGGCATATAGCATCTATGGGGAAGGGGAACAAAAATTGTGAATTTCATGGTCCCTGCCCCCTGGGCCTGAAGGATGTGGCTAAAACCACCAAAATTAATGCAATCTTTAAAAATCTTCTTCTTTACTCCAGGACATCAAGCAGTCAAACTGTTCGCATGATTGTAACAAGCATTGATCCCTCTACCAAAATTGTGAAATTCATGGCCCCAGGGTCAGGGGTTCTGGTGCTAGGGCGAGGCTATATAGATCATACAGTGAAAGTGCATTATTACTTTGAAAATCTGCTCTTCTTCTGGGTATTAAACAAGCAATCTAAGTACATAGTTATGATAAGGAAGGGTGCCTCTTCCAAAATTGTGAATTTTGTGCCCCCCCCCCCCCTGCATTGGTCGGGAGTTCTATTGATTATATAGTGAAAATGCATTAATTCTTTGAAAATCTTCTCTGCTCCTGGATATGATTTAAACTAACTAAATATTAGACAAGCAATCTACGTACATAGTTATGATGATCAAGAATGTCTCTTCCAAAATATTGTGAATTTCAGGGCCCCAGGGTCAGGGGTTCTAGTGTTAGGGCGGGACTCTTTTGATTATATAGTGAAAATGCATTAATTCTTTAAAAATCTCCTTCTGTTTCTGCTCCTGGGTATTATTTAAACAAAGTACATTGATATGATAAGCAAATGAAGTAGATTTACGTCTCCACCCCATCCCCCCTTTTTTGTAAAAACTTGAAAAATAAAAATTTCATTATTCACGTTTAATGTGAGACCTGTTATGCTATGTTATGGATATTGTACTTGAGATGCTCTTATTTCATTTCCGCCAAGGATAAAAGCAGCGAATATGCACATTTTACTGATAAATTGATTGGGGGGGGGGGGGGTAAAAATTCATAGGTACTTGGGTCTTGATTTATAAAGATGTATGTACCTTATTGATATGTAAAAAAAATGTACTTCACTTTTTTAACATACCAATAAGGTACATACATATTTATAAACCAAGATCCAAGTACCATCTGTAAAAATTAGCTTTTAACGCCTTATGAATAGGCCGAGTATTTGATACAAAATACTGTTTTCAGAAAAAAACTTAAATGTATCGATTAAAGCACAAAATTTCACAGCTTTAAATGTATTTGAACAATAACTTATTCATTAATTTTCTATTTTCATGTAAGCAAGTTTATTACGAAGTACAAATTGTACTTCGGGTTTGTTGCCACGATGCTCTCAGTAAGGAAAATAGATATACAAATTTTACCGATAAATTTATTAGGAAAACCTACAACATATATTTAATAGTCTTTCGATGTATAAATATATTCACAACTTACAGTGTTATCTATGATTTACCATTATTTCAATGACCATTGACACAAAAGTTGTTTTTTTTATGTAGCTATAATCGCCTCGTTTTCATTTTTAACATCGGACTCGATGCTATATGATGTTCTAGAAGCTTCCGTCAATAGTAAGATCGGTGAATGACGAAAATAATTTGCACATTTCCCTTTTTAATCGGTTATCACAAATTATTTTTTTTATATCATTTAAATCAAGTTTTGATTGAATAAATCACTAATGACGTTTTTGGAAATAAATAAATGATTGCTTGTTGTCAGTTAATTGCAAAATTTATTAATTTATAAGTATAGATGATTTGAAAAAATAGAATACAAAATCGCACATTTTTCTTGGGGGGGGGGGGGGGGGTTAACATTGTTGTATATGTGAAATTCGTTGTAAAAGTAAAGGAAAAGAAGGAATGTGCATTCCGTAAGACTGAAATGACACGAAGCTTCATTATTAATGTAGAACAGTGGAATGTACGTTCGTACAACACTGCAACGACCTATTTATTCATAGGGTCGAGCGAGCAATTAATCTTGCGTTAATTGCCTTTTTTGTCTGCAGAATGGAATTATTTTACAATTGTGCAAATGATTATTAATCATAAAGAGGAAACTTGTGGGTTTGGTCATGTTTAAGTCACTTCAAGTCACTTCGTTTAAATAAAACTGTCAATGAGTATAAGGTGAATTGAAGCGTAAGTTTGAGAATTCCATTTTACGGGATTTCAAAAAATAATAAGTTGATTTAAACATATTTTATTTAATATAATCAATCAAATTGGACACAAGTTTTTCCTCTCCAGTACAAATAAAATGAGCTATAACTGCACGTGATGTACAGATTACGAATGTACAGAAATATATTTAGAGAGCAAGGAAGAGAGAAAACAGAGTGTAGAGAACAGGGGAGGGAAGAGGATTGTAGAAGATAGGAATAGTTACGCTTATAATTCTTAAAAATAGTCGAATAAAGAAATAAAAATTACTTGGTCCTTGTTAATTAAAACATATAAGTATGTTGCTATTTGTAAGCTACATGTATTTAAAAGTAATAAAAAAACAACATCTAAAATTAAACATACACTATACTACTAAAGGGAGTTATTTTCCTTCAAACAGCTTTGTTAATCACGTATTTTTGTCGATTACACCTGCGTTTTTGAAATTTTTTGGAAATTTATTGATCACTCAAACATTTGCAAAGCGTAGAAGTAATTTTGTGTGTGTGTGTATGTATTTTCACATTTTTTTTTTGTTTTGCCTGCTCTTTTTTCAAATAGTAATTTTCCATAAGATCATTATTAGATTTTTTTTTTTTTTTTTTTACAGAAAAAGACGAAAACGGTTGGCGAACAAAAGACAGGGTAGCGGCCATATTGTGCTGGTACTGCACCAGAACTTGGTCTCCACAGTACTGCATCACCATATGCCAACGCCATTGGCTTAGATGATATTGAGGACACGTTTTCTTTTCCTCTTCACTAGAACCCTTAGGGTAACGCCATTTCTACTGTGATTATTTATTAACGTTTGAAGAATGCACCGTTCATGACTCATAACCATACTTTGTTTTTCTTTTTATAAACATATTGCTTAAAGATTGTTAAGTTTATAATAAAGATATAAATACACACTCTGGTTGTCATATATACGTCTTACATGTCCACATTTTAAATTAATTAGAGGACTCCCAAAGACACATGTTTGTTGGGGAAGGCCCTGCATGCTCTGCATATTTGTTTTTGTTCTGTCTCAGAGTTGTCAATCATTGCGATGTCCTGACCACACGTTTTGTATATTTTTATTAAATCCGTTAAAAAAAAAAGAAAAAAAGAATCTTCCTGACGGACGAACAAGGCGGTAGACAGGAGTATTTTTAAGGAAATATTTGTTCCTGATTTAGGTTATCTTCTCCATGCATTTAAAACTGTTTCGTAGCAAAACTCAACTTATAACACGTACTTGACGCTACATCCAACCTTTTAAAATCTTTCTTTGCTTGTCAAAATGTACTCGATATAGCCCAGTGAACTCTAGATTGAAGACACCTGAGAATCTGCCAAATCATTTTCAAATTTTCATGTTTTACTGACTATAGATGTTAAGGGCCAACCAATAAGTAGCGTTAATTGCCAACGATAAGTTTATTTATTTATGTAGTAATATTCCGCTATCATCTGCATATGGTGTTTGTATCTCCCATCTTACTCGTTACTCAAAAGCACACTCTGAGTACGATCAATTTTTAGAGCTATATATGGCGTAACTGAGCTAAAAAAAATAATAATACGAGATTGAATGTAGATATACATATGTACATGTTAAATGTTATTTATGTTCAAATTTAAATTTTCACCGATTTTGAACGTGAATAACCTCAAGTTTCTGTAGTTAAAAAAATGACTCAATTTGTCTGCTATTTAATGTGGACTCGGTAAGTAGATCAGTTGTCGTTTTAAATTCTTGATATCTTTGCAACGCGATTGATTTAAATTGTGCAATTTACAGAAAAGTTCTATCTTTATATAAAGTAATAAAACAAATAGAAAGATCTTTTTAGTTTTGGTTATCTGAACTTATCAAAAGTACGCCATATATGGTTTTAAACCGAGGTACCCTACTGACATAAGTCGATGTTACAGGGATTTCAACAACCATGTTTAAAGTCATCAATTCTTTATAAATTATATAATGTCAGTAAATTTTTATGGTCGTTATAATAACCTTGTTAGCAAATATAACCTATCATTGGGTCGTATTGTGACTGACTTATTTCATACCAATTGTTAGGCGTTTGTTAGGTCACCTGAGTCACTCAGGTGACCTATTGCTATCTGTTTTCGTCCGTCGTCGTGCGTCGTCCGTCGTGCGTTAACTTTTGAACATTTTTAACTTCTTCTCTAGAACCGCTCAACCAATTTCAACCAAATTTGGTATATAGCATCTATGGGTGAAGGGGAACAAAAATTGTGAATTTCATGGTCCCTGCCCCCCTGGGGCCTGAGGGGTGGGGTTAAAACCACCAAAAATAATGCAATCTTTAAAAATCTTCTTCTTTACTCCTGGACATCAAGCAGTCAAACTGTTGGCATCATTGTAATAAGCATTGAGCACTCTACCAAAATTGTGAAATTCATGGCCCCAGGGTCAGGGGTTCTGGCCCCAGGGTGGGGCTATATAGATCATATAGTGAAAGTGCATTATTTCTTTGAAAATCTTCTCTGCTCCTGGGTATTAAATAAAGTTACTAAGTACATAGTTATGATGAGCAAGAGTGCCTCTTCCAAAATTGTGAAATTCATGGCCCCAGGGTCAGGGGTTCTGGTGTTAGGGCGTGGCTCTATAGATTATATAGTGAAAATGCATTAATTCTTTGAAAATCTTCTCCTCTGCTCCTGGGCATTAAGATGATAAACTAAGTACATAGTTATGATGAGGAGGTGGGCCTCTTCCAGAATTGTGAAAGCCATGGCCCCTGGGTCAGGGGTTCTGGTGTTAGGGCGGGGCTCTATTGATTATATAGTGAAAATGCTTTAATTCTTTGAAAATCTTCTCTGCTCCTGGGTATTATTTAAACAAACTAAGTGCATGGTTATGATGCATAAGGATGCCTTTTAAAAAATTGTGAATTTCATGGCCCCAGGGTCAGGGGTTCTGGTGTTAGGGTGGGGCTCTATTGATTATATAGTGAAAATGCATTGATTCTTTGAAAACCTTCTTCTCTGCTGCTGGAGACTATTTAAACAAACTAAGTGCATGGTTATGATGCATAAGGATGCCTTTTAAAAAATTGTGAATTTCATGGCCCCAGGGTCAGGGGTTCTGGTGTTAGGGCGGGGCTCTATTGATTATATAGTGAAAATGCTTCGATTCTTTGAAAATCTTCTTCTCTGCTACTGGAGATTATTTAAACAAACTAAGTGCATGATTATGATAGACAAGGATGCCTCTTCCAAAATTTTTAAATATATGGCCTCAGTTTTTGGAGTTCTTGAGGAGGGGGGGGGGAGGGGCTCCATTGATTATATAGTGAAAAAGCATTAATTCTATTAATTAATCATTAATTAATCCTGTCTCCTCCTTAGTGTTGAGCTGGTAAAGAAATTGCTTAGCTATGATGAAAATGGGAGCTTTGAACAGAATTTTTTAATCTTGTGGTCCTAGGGTCAGGGGTTCTGGCATAACGAAGGGGGGGGGGGCGCTTGATAATATAGTGGAAAAGTGTTAATTCTTTGAAGTCCATAGTTATGATGATGAGGGTAACTCTTCCAAATTTGTAAATTTCTTGACCCTTGGTCTTGGGTTCTGGTGTTAGGGTAAGGCTTTGTTGAATCTGTAGTGAAAATGCATTGTACCTGTGAAATTCTTCTCTTCTGGGCATATCGGAAGCAAACTGAGTAAAAGTTTAAATGATATGAGTAAGCGTATTTCTACCAGATTTTTAAACATCTGGACCATTCGTCTAAGCATTCTGGTCCTGGGCAGGGCTCTATTAATTTGTATTCTACTGAGAGAAGTTATTCCCCTTTTCCATTCACCTTTGATAATTAATCACTGTAAATAATGTATTTGAAAGGTTAATAGAATAAGATAATTATGCAAGAATGTTTATCGTATAATTAAAAAAGTACTTTCTTAGTTTTAATAATCAGGTAGACCTGTAAGTAATAGATAAATAAAATTGAGACAAAAATAACTTATCTTATTAAAAGTTCTTCAAAGACCATAAGAGAGGTCAATGCTAGAGGTCTTAATATGGGATTAAAAATAGTACAGAAGCACTAGTAGTTTGTCAATAGTCTGCATGGTGATAGTGTTAAGTGGGGGACAGATTAGAACTTAATTTATGAGTTGATACTGAATACTAGACTAATTATTTTGTTGATCCTGATCTTCCTGCTTCTCTTGCTTTAGGGCACATTGCTTCATCTATCAGTGTATTTAACTTCTAAATTGTTGTATTTTACTCAGGTAACCGTTAAGGCCCTTGGGCCTCTTGTTTTTATATTAAATTTGACTAGGAAATATTCCCTCTACCTGATCAATACATAGGGCTCAGGGTGGGTGTGACCGACCGACAGGGAATACTTACTCCTCTAAGGCACCTGATTCCACCTCTGGATTTTCAGGGTGTGCGGTTGGATGCCCTGTTCACATATTTGTATTGTTTGCAGGTTATTTCACCTTTTTCTCTAAAGCTACATGCAAGAGTTACAAGCAAAACATAAAGTCTGGTAGAAAAGTTAAGTCGCCATTTCCTTAGAAATTAAGTACCGCGACTTCTGCAAAATCAACTACCATAAAAAAAAATTAGAGATCAGCAAACGGCATGTAAATGTCAACAGATTCTGAGTATAGGTTTGTGACATCCAGGCATATGACATTGTGTCAGACGTATGTTACATTCACGCCATAGCTATTTCTGTGTAATGAAGAAGAAAACTATCATGGATTATCACTTCTGAAGTTATTCACCTCTCGGGAAATTATACAAGATGAAACTTTATAACAGAAGTTAGTGCCAAACTTTAAGCAAGGCAGTCACTTTAACCAGTAAATGGTACTAGTTTCCCTACTTTTTGAAAATTGCGATTTTAATGTCACAATTAGAATTTTGAATTTACCTTGTTAGGTGTATATGATATTGGACAATTATTTGTATTTCAAATATTGAGAATAAATAAACCAAGGGATATTTTTTTCTGTAATCTGTAATCAACTACATGTATGCTCGAATAAAAGATGTTTTTGAAATATAGTGGTTATTAAGTTTACATGTGCGTGTGTGGGTTAGAGAGAGAATTTTACAGAAAATATGCGATAAATGTACACATCGCATATTATATTGGTAGACCAACCAGGTAGGTGGTCACACACAAATATAATTTTTGTTGCAGAATGGTTTGATAAGTGCGTTTTAATTGGTGGACAATAGTATATTGATTGCCTTTCTCTCAAATATAAACATCGGCCTCTCCATATCAAATAAGGATATTTTAATTCTTTCAGTAAGTTTTCAGCACGGCTTTTAAATATAACCAATTATTTAATTCAATCATATTGAAGAAATGAAACTATTTGACCCGTGCTTGAACTATATGTTCACTTTACACTTTCTGTCTAATTACACTTTACAGTTCAAGAAGTCGAACTTTATATCCATAAACCATTTATAAAACTTTTAATTTGTAACTGCATTCTCGCAATCTCACTTTATTTTAAAGATTTTCTACGTAACAAAATGATATCAGTAATTACCTGAATGATGAGTAATATTCCAAGAAGTGCAAATTCAAGTTGATATCTCTTTTTAAAACAAGAGGCCCATGGGCCACATCTCTCACCTGAGTACATTAGCTAGGAAGAAGCAGAAATCAGTTCACTATTGAAAAGTATACGGGAGGGGACAAACTTAAATTACACTACCTCATGAATCTTCCATATCAATATTACTAATCATGGCTTTGCTATTCTCCAGAAGAAGAATTTTGAAGATTCTTTCCTATGTATTCTTATGTAAAACTCTGATTGCTCATTGTGGCTCCACCCTATCCACCCAAAATTTCAACAAATTTTAATCTACACTACCCGAGGATGCTTTTAAATAATAATATAACT